TATTGAGCTGACAAGAGCAATTTAAGTACCTGCTTCCTTTTCCAGCAATGAACTCTCCAGCTTTTTCTTTTATTCATTCACCTCAAGGATTCTAGTGGTGTTGCAAATTCACAATTTTCTAATCAAGCTGAAGTTCATTAGCGTCCCCCAGTTGGGTTGAAGTCGTTCCACTATAAGTAAATCGATTCACGATTACCTGGTAATCATGGACAGATTGAATCCAGGGTTTCTGACTTTAAGGACAAAAACTCTTGACAAAAGCCTAAACTCCAGGCTTTGCTTACATGCCAAGGTAAACTCATCTCATTTTCCTAAGACTTGGCTTCCAAGCTCTCAAGTAGGGGTACTAATCTCTGACCATCTCAAATAGTGTCCTTCAGACAAGCCTCAGGAATGCAGGGGCATAGCTTCATCCTGATGCTCCAGACAGATGGAAATTGAAAATTAAGTCAATGAGAAGCAGCATCATCTGTGTCTGTCCACTTACAGAGAGCCCATCTGCCTCAGGCTCCTGGAGCTGAGTGAGTTTCTTCCAGAAGGAAAAGAAAGTAGCACAGGAAAGTTCATCTGGGGATGACAGATTTGGCAATGCCTGCGCCCCACGTCAGGTCCTCTAGCTGGATAGAACAGTTTCTAAATGTGTTACTGCACAAGAGGGACTGAGTCTGAGACAAGTTCTCTTATGTCAGGGGAAGAAGGAGTGAGGTGGGGAAATCATACTGCCCCGAGCAAGCCCATTATAAGCCAGTTATCACCGGCATCTCAGCCCCTTTCCCAACACCATAAGACCCTATCTAAAGAAACTTCTCCAAGGGCGCAGAGTGTGAACCATGCCTGGACAGGAACATGTGCATTGTGAGTGCTAGATTTTAGTCATTCATTCATTCAACAGTTATTTGCTGAGCGCTCCTGGGGGCTGTATAATGATTAGTGCCACCTAGCTACTACAGGGAAGGCTGGTGGCAGGGTGATCATTTGACTTTGGTATTGACTTTAAACTCGTTTCACTATAATCTGCTCAGCTACCAGCATAAAGTGTTCAACGAGCACCAAGTAAATGGATGTAATGAAAATGGGAGGGACAGTTTTGTTTTATTGTGTTGTTGTCGCTGTCTTTGTTTTTCCTGGTCATGCATTTTTATTCCGTTCCTCGCTCTGTTCTCTACACTGCTTGGGGCATGGGAGTAGAGAGGAAGAGAAAATTCCCCAGATGAAGACTGGCAGATGTAGCTGAAGGGCCCCTGGGACTCCAGTAGCAAGAGAAAATGAATAGCAGAGTCCAAGGCTGTTATTTCAAAAAGTGGCTCATGGTAGCTTTGTCAGCAGAATCTTAAGGGAGAAACCAGGCATATTTATTCTGTCTCTTTCTCTCTCTCTCTCTCTACCACCTCCTATCTCTCTCTTAACTCTGTCTCTGCTTGCCTATCTATCTATCATCTACTGGAATACCTTCTCACTTATTTATCTATTGTGTCTACCCCTACCTCTCCTTCATTTCCTGGTTCTTCTAAATCCCAGAAGACAGAAATATGGAGGTCTTAAACATAATCAGGGAGAAGTTGGCCTTCATGAGAACTTAGCCCTAATTCCTAACTTAGCCCTAATTCCTGCCACTCTTGAGGTCTCTTTGCTGAGAATATGAATTAAGTCATCTTAGAGAATCGATCTTCCATGATCTTATTATAATCTTACGTTCCCTGTCTTGGTGTTGGAGGGGGAGAATGTAGTTCCAGCAGTGAAGCAACCCCACAATCCTATCCTCAAAAGGACGTGGTTTCACTATTCTGTAGCTGGAACATGGGGCAAAGGGGGCATTTCCCTCTGAGGTCTAAAAAGGCCAGGCTCTTACTTCTAGCTCTGCCCCCATCTCCCTCTAATCTGGAAGCAGACTCCTTACTGCCTCTGGCTCTCAGTATCCCCTTAGCTAAAATGGGTGAAGTTGCTGGCATTGTACACATCATCTCGTGAAATCGTTGCAACAACACTGGGTAGATATATTATTACCTCCCTTTCTTTTCATGGATGAGAAAATAAAGTTCAGAGAGGTTAGGTTATTTAAGTCCTGTACAGCTTATATATGACAGAGCTAGGATCTGAACCTGTGCTTTTTGCAATTCCCTTGATTGAATTTCAAAAGAGTAACATCTGGATGAATGGCTGGTCACTCTGGGATCCGGTCTACATTTTATCATATATTAAGTTGGCCCCGTTCACCAAGAGGTTGGAGCTACTGAGAAGTGCTGAGTCTGTCTTCTCTGCATCCTTGAGCTGCCGGGCATGCTACTGGGCACTAGCGTCCTCAGCTGGCTCAGATGTATCCTTAAATAATTGAATTATAATGAATTGATTTATTCTGGCTCTTTTGATAGTGTTTCACTATATAAACTGTTTGCTGAAATAAACAAGGGATTTTGGAGCTTGGAAGGGGCTCAACATTCTGCTGCCCCTGAATTCACAGACTCCTTTTTCAGATAGTCAGCATCCTAGAATTCCAAGTTTTAATTCTACTTGACCCTGGCTCTTTCTGGGGGGAGTGGGGGCGGGCTGCCGCACAGAGTGTTTTAGGTGAATACTGATTTCACAAGGTGAGTTCAGCCAGCTAGAAATAAATTGACCCCTTAAAAGAAGAATATTTTTTTTTCTCTTGACTGTTATTCTAGAATGTACAAAGCATGTTTATGTCCACGTCCTATGAGAGTTTTGTGGGTATCCTGAGAGGTTTTTCCTGGCTGGGGCGATCATTCCTTTCTTTTCGTTTTGTTAAAGTATAATTAACATACAATGTTATTTTAGTTTCAGGTGTACAACATACTGAGTCAACAATTCCGTACGTGACTCAGTGCTCATCATGAAAAGTGTAGTCACCATCTGTCACCATACAACATTACTACAGCATTTAGGACCATCCTTTCTGTATTACAGATGGAAAGCCAGAGGCTGAAAGGTGAAGCTAATTGTGCAAGGTTAGATAGCCAATAAGAGGGATAGAAGTCAGTTCCTGATCAGAAACGGGGCTCCACTCTATGGTTTTAGAGTATATAGGGGAAGGATGTCCTAGGCCAAGCAGTATTCTTAGGATGACTCTGTGTTCTGATATGCCTGGGATGTTCAGATTTTCCCTGGAGACGTGCCTTTTGCCTGGACATAGTTTCTCATAGCATCTCCATCACTAGTTTGGATGATGACTTTAGGCTCACCCGAAGACACCTTGTAGGGACCAGATTTCAAGAAGCTCTGTCTTTCAGAACAGCTGTAGTATGTAGCTAGGTCGGCACAGTTAAGTGTTGGGCTAGGAATCTTCACAGAATAGGAGCCCACACAGAAAGGGGTATTTAGTTTTTCCCAGAAATATTGGGAAAAGAGCACAGACGACCTGACATTTGAGTTATTAACGGATGAGCAGAGGACTCTCTTTCAGACAGCTGCATTCTGATTTCTCCTGGTATTGATCGGTGCTGAAACAGCAAGCCACGTGCATGGCTCCTGCCTCCTTGGAAGGCACCTGTCAGCTCCAGGCTTCCATGATCTGTGTCCTGGCCGCCAAGAGTCACTGTGGCCCGCTGCAGCTCTAAGTTGTCCCTGCTGTGATTTGAATTACATGGGAGCTTGAGAACTCACTTGGCCTTTAACTTTAACTACCAAGCCCTGAGGAGCCTGGACCAGCAGACAGGAAGGGCTCCCGGACACTGGGCACGCTGACCCTCTTATCTCATTGAGCCCAGAGGGGAAAAGAGATTTGTCATTTTTTTTTAAAGATTTTATTTATTTATTTGACAGAGAGGCAGCAAGAGAGGGAACACAAGTAGGGGGAGTGGGAGAGGGAGAAGCAGGCTTCCCGCTGAGCAGAGAGCTGGATGGAAGCTCAATCCCAGGACTCTGGGATCATGACCTGAGCTGAAGGCAGACGCTTAATGACTGAGCCACCCAGCCGCCCCGAGATTTGTCTTAAGTACCAGAGCAGTTGAGTTAACAGAACTGGGAATGAAGCCAGTTAGGTTACACGGAACTCTCTTTGGAGTTCAATAAACCTCAGTTTGCCACTGTGAAGTTCTGTGGTGTCAGATGGTGTACCCAGGACTTGGAAGGTGAAAGCCTGAATTTGAAACTACGATCTGGCATGAATACACCATGCGACTTTGGGCAAGTTATTATTTTTTTTTTTAAAGATTTTATTTATTTATTTGAGAGAGAGAGTGAGTGCACATGAATTGGGGGGAAAGGCAAAGGGAGAGGGAAAAACAGACTCCCTACTGAACAGGGAACACAAGTGAGGCCATCCCAGCACCCTGGGATCATGACCTGAGCCAAAGGCAGATGTTTAACCCACTGAGCCACCTGGGAGCCCCAGCTTTGGGCAATAGTCCTAATCTGGAGGACTGAAAAAATTAGAACAGTAATGCCTTTGTCATAAGATGGATGTGGCGCTCACTCGGGGTTTGTGTTTGTGAATGTGTGTGCTCGAACATATGTAGTACAAGATTAGACGCTCTAAATTTGCAAGTATGCATATACTCAATATAACCATGTATTGGTATATATGCATATGCTCAATATATATGCATATCCTCGATGTAACCATAAGCCCAGGTTAGCCAGAAGTTTAGTGATGTTTTACATCGTCTTGTATAACGGCAACTTTATACCCACTGAACAGTAACTCTCAATAATTTCCCCCTCCCCCCAGCCCCTGGCAACCACCTCTGTAGTCTCTCCTCCTGTGAGTTTCACTACTTTCTAGTCCTCATTCAAGTGGAATCGTCCACTAGTGGACCTTTTGTGTCTGGCTTACTTCACTTAGTATCATGTCCTACAGGTTCATCATCTTGTCACAAATGGCGGGATCTCCTTTTTAAGGGTGAATAATAATCCCTCGTGGCCACTGATGACGGGCTTTACAGTGCTGATAATTGTGCTGGTTTCATCCCACTACTGTGGATTTCAGCTGAGACCAAAGAACAAATATCTATCTGTTCTCTTCCTTCTCTGTCCATCTCCTGCAGATGAACCCAGCCGGTGCTATTTCCATGATGGTGATGGTGTGTGTGAGGAGTTTGAACAAAAAACTAGCATCAAGGACTGTGGGGTCTACACACCCCAGGGGTTCCTGGATCAGTGGGCATCCAATGCTTCAGTTTCGCATCAGGACCAGCAGTGTCCAGGCTGGGTCATCATTGGTCAGCCGGCAGCCTCCCAGGTAAGCTCCCAGCCAGGTGTGACATTTCCTACAGATGTTCTGTGTCTCTGCTCTGTCCTGCTGGGCTGCCATACTCAAATGTAATGTCACTGGATGTGGCCCCCTGACTGAATCTTGAACCAAATGTAATCTCCGGACCTCACGAGTACCATTTGTCAGGGATGAAACATGGATGGTTAAATGCAGAGACTGTGAGCATAGTATGGTAAAGCCTGTCCTCCTGTTTCTCTACCTGTTATAATTCATATTTGGTGAAAGAATTCCACTTTGGATACACCACTGGAACTCAATGGGGTAAGACCAAATTCTTTGGGGGGAGTCCTGCCTTTTTTTTTTTTTTTCCTCCCTTGGAGGAGGCTGCTGAGTCATATGCTCTTTGAGCACTCACCTGTGAATTAACTCTATCATGAATTTGCTATGTGGCCTTGAGTTAATCTCCCCACTTCTCTGGGCCTCATTTTCCCCCATCTTTAAGTTAGAGGGTAGTTGAGTTTGATGATCTCCAGGGACCTCCCCACTCTAAAAAGCTGTGACTCACTCCTCAGTGCCCTAATGCACTATTTATGTTCCAGGATTCTTGCCCCAGGGGTCTGCTAGGTTTAGTTGAGGGAACAAGAGATTGGGGCCACCAGTGCTTGTGTGATTCTAGGGATGGCCTTGGTGTCCCCAGAGTCCCCTTTCCAATTATCCTGGTGAGCAAGCACCTGCCTTCTTCCGAGACTCCCATTTCCCAGAGACACGACTCAGTGCTTCCAACTGCCTGGCCCAGTGGCCATCTCAGAGGCCAACCTGCTCTTGGCCTCGCAGATGAGTCATGATTCCCAGCCATTCCTCTCTTGTGTTGCTTCCCTGACTCGGGCTGGATGGGCAGGGAGAGGGGGTGGTGGTTCTTTAGATGAAAAAGAGATGCAACCTTCCTCTGGGGCCCAGTGAAAAACCCCTTTACAAGGTACAAGATAGGTCCACCTCATTTATAAGTCACAGTGTTTCTTTGGCCATTTTCTCATTTGTCTGTTTGCTTGTGTTTACACACATTAGATTATTTACGTGTTTGTATTCGTTTCTGACTGCCCTAAGTCAGGTGGAAGGGAGTTTGGCTTAGTGCCAGCCCAGTAAATGAATGAATCAAGGAACGAATGAAGAAGTGGGTGTCTAGGGTTCATCCTCCCCGTGCCATCTCTGTACTTGCTGAATTCTTCTTTGGTTGCACCTGTCACCTTGAACCTGAATTACCTGTGTGCACATCTCGCTCCCCCTAGGCTGCTTGATCTTGGAGAACAGCTTTGGGTTACATTCATTTTTGTCTCATCTTCAAGCACGGGCCTGACAAGACTAGATGCTCCAGAAACATGTGTTTAATTGACTACTGACTGACTGTCGATGCATGCATGCGTGCACACGTGTGTGTGTGCGCATGCGCGTGCACACACACACACACACACACATGCATGCAAATGAGCACCACCAAACGAGGATGCTAGAGCATCACCTCTCTGTGGCACAGAAGGTCCTGTTCAGGAACAGCAGGGCCTGCCAGCAATAGCGCCAGGAATTCCCAATTCAGCACTAGCAGCCGGTTCTAGAAATGTTTAAAAAACGTCATTCAAACAAGGGAATTAACACACTGGGAATCTCACATGAGCAAGAGCTGAGGTAGCAGCTGTGTTTCAAAACCACCCCAAGTGTTATTATGGCCGCGAAAGTAAGAGAAAGGAGAGAAGGAACTGTCCAGCCTTAGCATTCGAAAGTAGACTTCACCGGGCAATTATTCCAGTCCTGTAAGGAGGGGCTGTCAGGAATTATGGGTGATTATCTCTTCCTAAACAAAAATCCAATTTCAAAAAATCATTATAAATACTAGCTCTTCGATCTACAAAGAGGAGATGAGGAAACAAAATCATCCTATTGAATTATTCATTGTAACCAATTTTATTTTAATGAAATCGACTAGGTTCCATTACTCTGGGCTTGGACATAATCTTTGTTACAAGGAGACTTCAGCTGTAACTAAATTTGCCATAATGAGATCAGCTCGCTGGAGAATACAGGGTCAGTGGAGGGGGTGTGTTGCCGGCTGGGTGCAGGGCCAGGCAGGCAGCCTGGAGGGCGGCAGAACAAAAGTCTCCTGATTCCCCCGACTGAAAGCAAATGCCTAGAAGTCACTCACGCACTGTCCCCCCCACAACCCCGCCATGCATAGTGATGCCCGTGCACGGGTGCACAGACAAACAGCCTGTGTGATTCTGGGTGAGGTTCTCCCTGGAGTGTAAAGGTGGCTCCCTTCTGACTGCATGGAAGAGGAGGACATTTGACTGTGGCCTTCATGATTACCCTGGGCACTGGTTAGAGGAGGCTGCTGGTTAATTTTCACCCAGTCAGGGCTTCCAGTGAAGAGGTTGATGGCTTGAAAGAAGGAGCTGCAAGGTTCTTAGAGGCACCACGTGCCCCTCGCCTTCCCCCGATGCAATTAACCATCTCCTTTTCCTCTTCCTCCTCTCTTTTTCTGTCTCTCTTACACACACATGAATGTGCTTGCACACACACATGAAATTCCCATGTAGGGCCCTGGGTCCCAGGGAGAGTGGAAGGCGGTGCAGGGTCATGGGGGTGTACTGGCCATTACATTGGATCCTCCCATGCTCCACAGCCAAGCCCCTCTTCTTGGAGACACTGAGAGGCAGTGCCTTCCCCAGAGCCACACAGCCCAGAAAGAAAGATTTTAAGATTAGGATCTTGTAGAAGATGCCAGTGAGATTGGGAATATGCAGTCATCCCTGTAAGTCAGAAGTCAGTGGACACCTGGGAAACTGCACTGGGAAACAAGCAGGGAGAAATGCAGCTGGGTAGATCCTATTGTTGGTGTCACTGTGCAAATGCCCTGAGGCACTTGGATTCTCCTCTAGCAGACTCTTGGGCACTGCCCATACCTCTGAGTTCAGGCTGTTCCCACTCCCTTCCAGGCAGACTGTTCTGAGGTCGCATGGTGGGTATTCACTAGGACGCTCCTTTAACTTGGGGGGAGGGATGAAGGGACCACAATTGTTCTTTGTTCCTCTTTACAAGCCTGTTTTGTCCTACTCTCTGTCACTCCCCCTGATGCTATAAACATGGTAAAGGCAGGTGTTTGTAGGATAGGTGCCTACCTCTGTGCCACAACCTTCGGGAGAAACCAGAGAGTGGAAGAACCAGCCCCCAGGCTTGTGAGGTGTGAGAATTCTATCAAGAGGAGTGGCCCCATCAAAACAAGCTGGCAGATTCTCGCTGGGATGGCCTCAGAGCCACACTCATCATGCTTCGTGAGTCTGGAGAACTGCTAAAAACTTGAGTTTCAATTCTGTAAAAGCTCTTAGCGTCTAATAATTTCCAGTCTCTTGCATGTCCATTCTCCTCCAACAAGATCCCCAAATTTGGTTAGGGCTACGCTACTCCACCCCAAGCCCTGAGTCGTGTATCCAGACGTTATCAGAGTCATCAGAACTTCCAGTGTGCAAACTGGGCTGAACACCCTCTCATAAGAGACATTCTTTGGATATTTTGGCCACGCACCTTCCCGGCCCAGCTGGAATTCAAGAAGTCCCTGAGACAGAGCAAAAATGGAAATGAACCGGAGGAATCAAGTTATTTCTCTTCAGGGAACCTCAGAAATGGTTTGGGTTAAGTGCTTGCAAAAATTTCATCTTGTCCTAATTTTGTCTCCATGTTTTGCATTTCTCTAGTACTTTACACCATAGGCTGCCAAAATGAGATGTAGATATTGCTTCCTCCTGCCCCCGCCCCCAGCGTTTCTACCCCAGCCCGTTTCCTCCTATCTGGACAGGCACCCCCCTCCTTCTGCAGTGGCCCAAGGAGGAAATGGAAATACTGACTATCTGGGCTCTCCAGGGATTACAGACCTTCAGTCATCCAACCAATTTATTTGGTTAATCCTTTGAGGGTAAAGCTTAGACCAAGCATTTCCAGGGCAGTAGTTTCAGGGCCAAAATAAAGAAAACCTTTCTAAGAACGAGAAGCATCCACAGGGGGTCGGAGTGCTGTGTGATCTACTAAGCTCACCACAGTAAGACGTTCAGGCTGAGCTGGTGGTCGAATGGGAGATCCTGGCCTTAGAAGGCCGGTGAGAGTCTAGACATCTCTCCTTCCTTTGAAATCAATTCTCTGACTTTCTGTTCCATCAGTGCGTCATTGGCCACATCGGTTCTTTGCCACTTTACCTTGAGTTGCTATGACCAGCTTCTAGGCACGTTCATAATGCTTTAGGCCTCCATTAAAATAACAAATCATAATTTGTCTTGAATTATGTATTAATTCTCTTATTCATTGGCCCGAGCAGGAATCTATTCGAATCTTACACTGTTGAACATGAGTAGGTAAAGAGGGTGGGAGTTCATGGAAATCATGGGACTGTGGCTTTGCCCTCTTCACCCGTCCTCTGACTTGGGAACCTTGAGCAGATGACTCCTTGGGAACTTTAGTTTCCTCTTTGGGAAAGTGGGAATGACAGCGTCGACCTGGTGGACATTGAGAGAATAAATGTAGAGAAGACACCTAGCACCGCCCCCACCCCCCCACTTACTGGGTAGTTCAGATGTTGATTCTCTGTCCAGCTCATGTAAGGCTTCTCCCCCTCCCCCAGAGTCCACAGGGACCCACCCTTCTGCAGAAGCTCAGTCAACATGCCCTTGAGTTAGACATTGTTGTGTTAGCGCGTGTCTCCTGCAACCTCCGGACCATACCAGGCATGTTAAGAAACTCCAGAGAGGCGCTGGTCCTTTTGCTGCCCTCAGAGGGCTCACCATTGCATTGGAGGGGTGTGTCCGACTACAGGCAGCAGCCAAAGACCCAGGAGTGGGAATCAGAGGGAGTTTCCCTGAGGAAGAAACCACAGCGCTATCAGCTTGCTCAGCCAGCAGGGATGAGAGCCAGCAAGTGGGGAAGGAAAAGTCCTTCGCCCACTCTCCGAAGACCTTGCACAAATTATAAAAATAACATTTATCAAGTTC